AGCCACCAACACGGGGCATCTCTTCAGGCTCCTGCCTCCCCCAGATCTCTCCGTTCCCCCCCCCGGCTCGGTGCCCCCTCTCCCCCCACTGGAGCAGAGTCTAAGGCTGTGTCTGTGTCTGTCCCCAGCTCACGGCCTGCGTCCAGGCCTCCTCCGCCATGCTCTACCCCATGTACTGGCAGCACATCTACATCCCCACGCTGCCCCCGCACCTGCTCGACTACTGCTGGTAAGGGCACGGGCAGCCTCTGGTGGGCTGAGCAGGAGCGGGCCAGGTCGGCTCTTGGAGGGGGGACCACCAGCATGCTTCAGGGAGGTGGGAGGGGGCGCTCTCCCCTTGTGGTCAGTGCTGGCTCCAGTACCCCAGACTGGCACTAGGGGGCGCTGTGCTGCAGGGAGCGGGGTGGGGGCTCTGTAGGGGGCGCTCTCCCCTGGTGGTCAGTGCTGGCTCCAGTACCCTAGACTGGCATTAGGGGGCGCTGTGCTGCAGGGAGCAGAGTGGGGACTCTGTAGGGGGCGCGCTCCCCTCATGGTCAGTGTTGGTCCCAGTACCCCAGACTGGCACTAGGGGGCGCTGTGCTGCAGGGAGCGGGGTGGGGGCTCTGTAGGGAGCACTCTCCCCTCATGGTCTGTGCCGGCCCCAGTGTTCCGGGGTGGCGCTTGGGGGCACTGTGCTATAGGGAGCGAGTTTTGGGGGGCTGATCTCGTGCATTGATCCCTATAGTCTCTGCTTTGAGGCAAAGGTGCTACCGGGGCTGGGCAGTTTATGCTTCATTTGTCTGCGCCTCATCAGCCTCCCTCCCTTCCCGCAGCGCCCCTATGCCCTACCTCATCGGTGTCCACTCCAGCCTCATGGAGGTGAGTCCTGCCCCGCCCCGGCGCCCCCTGGGGAGGGCAGCCTGCACTGCAGGCTGGGAAGGGGGGTGAGTCCCCGTGCAAGCTGGGGCTGCGGGAGGCCTGAATGCGGGCGAACCCCCAGGATGCAGGGGGGGGCTCCATCCGTTCCCAGGAGGAGATCGGGGACTGGGGGAGGGGGGGCGGGGTTGTGTGGAGAAAGGGGTCCCACAGCTTCATGGGGGGGGATTTACTCAGCCTTTGCACAGGGGGTGGGTCCGATCCCCTGGATGTTTAATTTGGATCTCGTGTCAAAGCTGCCATCTGCAAGGAGCGGCTGGGGGTCCCGGAGCTGGAGCGAAGCCGGGTGCCCCTTGTGGGTTGCCTGCCGGAGCGGGTTTCCCTGGGGGAAGGGCCGTCCTGGTGGCCTGTGAGGTTGCCGGTGGACGGCGAGTCTGGCTGCCTGGTTGGGAGGTGCTGAGCGCCGAGGCCGGCTCCAGCCCCTTCCCCTCTGGATGTGTCCTCTCCTGGCAGAGGGTGCGGGACAAGGCCCTGGAGGACGTGGTGATCCTCAACATCGACACCAACACGCTGGAGTCGCCCTTCCAGGACCTGGAGAATCTCCCGAGCGACGTGGTCAGTCCCCACCCGTCCCCTGCTGCCGTCCCCTGTCTCCAGCACAAACAGCTGGGTGAAACCCTCCCCCTGCTCCCGCCCTGAAGGGGACCCCCACATTCAACCTCCATGATCCTTGGCAGGCCCCACGCTGGGCTGCATCCAAAGCTGTCACCCTGTGGCCTGGATCTCCCCAGAGCCCCCTTCTCTCCTGTTCTATGCCTCCTCCTAACACCCTGGGTATGGGGGGGGTCTCTCCACTCTCCCCGGCATCTCGTGGCTTGGCAGCCCGGAGATCTCAGCCCCAGTGCAGATGACGCCCTTTGGCTGCGTGAGGAAGGAGGTTCCCCAGCCAGAGATGGAAGTCGGCTTCCTTCTCTAGTGGCAACGTGATCTCTGGAGATCCCATGGACAGATCCTTCCGTCCCTTTCCAGAGGGACCCCAGGAGATGGGAGGAGCGTGATCTGCCGGACGCTGTGGGATCTCCCTCCCTCCCCGCTCTCATGGACTCTCCCATCTAATCCAGGGGTCCATCTCGGCCTGAGTGTACCCCAAAGCCCCCTGGGGTCTAGGGCCTGGATCACACAGCTGCCCCTCCCCAACCTCACTCATGTGGGTCCCTCTTCTCCCAGGTGTCTCTGCTGAAGCTCCAACTGAAGAAGCAGTCGGCCACCACTGGCGACGGGGTGGCCCGAGCCTTCCTCCGAGCCCAGGCGCTGCTCTTCGGCGGCTACCGCGACGCGCTGCTTTGCACCCCGGTGAGGCTGGCTTCCCTCCCCGCCCATTGAGGGCAGCTCGCAGGGCGGGAGAGCGTGAAGCGTAAGATAGGATAGAGTCGGGGGCTCAATGTCTCCCCCTTGTGGCTAGACATTTATTATTGGTATCTGGTACCCCCAATCCTGGACCAGGACCCCGTTGTGCTAGTTGCTGTATATTAGGTGTATCACGGTAGCACCAGGAAATTCCAGCCAAGGGCAGGACCCCATTGTGCCAGGCACTGTACAGACACCGAACAAGAAGATGGTCCGTGCCCCATGTGTTCCCCTCCAAGGGTTCCCCCTTCTCTGTATGGCAGCCCATGCGTTCCCCCTTTTTTCCAGGCCCCACCCTGCGAGTGTCTGCACCCCCGTAAGCAGTCGTGCTGCCATGGGCGGGGAGGCCGGCAGAGTAGCATAGAGCAATCATCCTTCTAAGTGTCTGTCTTCTCCCCTCTGGGGGGTTTCCTTGCTCAGGGATCCCCAGGATCGGTAGGGGAAACCCGCAAACCCTCCCCACTCTGTGTCCCTCTAATGCCCCCCTCCCGGGGAGGATTCCCTGGAAATCCAGTGGCCGCTGTGGGTTTCTCTGTGCAGGGGGAGGCGCTAGCCCTGAGTGACCCCCAAGGATTTTATGTTGCAAAGCAGCTGCCCTGGGGGTGGGGGGAGGGTTGAGTTCTCCAGAAAAGCTGAGGAACCATCCAGGGCAGTTGGAGCGCCCGGCTGGCCCAGTAACTACCCCATGGTCATTGCCCTTAGGTGCTTTGGGCTAGCTGCCAATCTCCGGTGCCTAGAGCAACCTGGCTTTCCCGATCTGGGGCCCCACTCCAGACCTCCCTCCCCTCCTCCCCTCCCCCCGAGCGGGGCACAGAGCCGGTGTCTCTGAGCTGGGCCCCAACCTCCCCCCTCCCATTCACCCTCTTTGTGCCCTCCTCCCCCAGGGCCAGCCCATCTCGTTCTGCCAAGAGTCTTTCCTCAACCACAAGTCCAGCACCATGCGGGAGTTCCTGCACAACGCCGTGCACCTGCAGCTCTTCAAACAGGTAAAGGGGGGAGCCTCGGCCTGGGGGTGGGGGGCCAGGAATTCTGAGGCCTGGACCTGAGACCCCCAGGTACATTGGCAGCCCCTGTCCAGTGGAAATGATGTGCCCAGCCCCCTCCCCATGTGTGTGACCTTCTCTCCTGGAGGGGTGAGGGGTAAATCTAGGAGAGTTTGGGGGGCGGAGGGGGCCTGGATGGGGGGGTGGTTGGGCCACCCCATCCCGGTCATATTTTCTAGGGCTTTAAGGTGTCACATCACCACAAAAGCCATTAACGAATGGCGGCTCTCTCCCCCCATGGCCCCCATAATAATTTATGCTCCCACTGTATCATGTGCTCTCCCTGTAATGTCCCCTCTAATGGTTCCCCCTCTCCATCTGCCCCCCCGTGCTCCTCTCTAATGGTTCCCCCTCTCCATCTGCCCCCCGTACTC